GCCAATCTAGGCACCCCACTGCTGAGGGGGGGGGAAGCCCTGAGCCTAGGGGAGCCCCCCCCAGCCCTAGGTTCCCCACCCCTGTTGTAGGGCGCACTCATTCCTCTTTCTGTCAGTGGTCTAAGTGCCACTGCACCTGGGCTATGTCTACACTCACGGCTTCTTCCGAGAGTAATATGCAAATGAAGCAAAGCATGGAATACTGCCAAGCCTCATTAGCATACCTAATGAGCCACCATTTTTTTCAGAAAAACCCTCTTGCGCAATGCCGCTACACCTATTACTTTTCGGGAAGAATGGCATTGCGCAAGAGGGTTTTTCTTGCGCAAGAAGGGGCAGTCTAGACGCTCTTTCTTGCCCAAGAGCCTATTCTGAAAAAAATGGCAGCTCGTTAGGTATGCAAATGAGGCTCAGCGATATTCCTCGCTTAGCCACATTTGCATATTACTCACGCAAGAAGCTGCGAGTGTAGACATAGCCTGAGGGTTGCCTGATGGTTTACCAAAAATACTGAACCAAGCCCTCCCTCCCCCAGAAAAGGCGGAAGGGATACCTAGAAGCCTTTACTTCACCTCTCCTAGGACTTAAATGTGAGGTACCTGTCACTGTCCATCCTGGGAGGAGCACCCAGCTCCTCTGCTCAGGAGCTTGTACTGAGCTAATCCTCCAATCCTGCTTGTTCAGGGGGATTTAGGCAAGTAATAGCTCATTTCTCCCCCAAGCCTGTCACCTTCTGGGGATGGCCTTTCTATTCTACAGTAGTGGGTCTGTCACAGCCCCTGCAGCTCCCTACTGGCTCCCAGCTAGCTCTTGCCCTTCCTGTGAGGCTAGGATGCTCCAGACACTCCATGCAGGACCAGCTTTAGTGATGGTTTGTCAGGGTGGTTGCCCTGGGTGCCCACTTTCAGGGAGTGCAATATTGCTCAGGGTTTTGTTTTTTTTTAATTTTGTTTTGAGGCTTTTTTTTTTTTTTTAACCTAGCTGCTCAGTACCACCTCCCCAAATGGCAAAACATCTAGGGCTGGTCCTGCCCCATAGTGAAGATACTGGGTGTGTTAGTAAAGGACCACCCCGCTGCACACACTTCCCCCAGGCCAGGAACCCTTAGGAGAAACAAACAAGAAAAAATAGTGGATCCTATTGAGGCCAAACCAGCTACTAGAGCTGGGGAGAAACTATCCCACCCAACCTATGTGAAGGGGCTTTGGAGATAGCAAGGCTGAGAGGGACCAGGAATAGGCAGGGCAGAAAGCAGATCTGGTTGCAGCCCCATATAGGAGCAACACAAGGCCAATGCAACTGAGGCTTTGATCTTGACTGAAGCCTCTATGAGATATCATTTTAGTAGTAGTCATCTTTGCACAGCCTGAGTGGGAATCCACTGTACTGTGCTGAGGACAGAATTTATCTCAGTCCAAAATATTACAGCTTGTAATAGAGTTATTGTGTGTTTTACAGAACAAGAGACCCTCCAAAGCGTTGTCGTCATCATGATCAACCCCATACACTGGCATTATCCGCATCACATTATGATATAACAGTGCAATGTCCTCAAAATGTTTTCATCCATTTCAACAAAACTCCATACTGGCCTATTTCAAACTTGGATTATCCCACAGCATTATCAATGGGGAAAACCATGCTGCCCTGTGATATTTCCTACAACCACATCTCAAATTTCACAGTACTGCACGAGGCAGGTCTTCAAAAATCAGAAGCCTACTTGAAGACACAGGTCCAATATCTCCTGTCTTACCAGTCCAATGCACTCAGCCCAGAATGCCCATCGACTTTAAACAGCAAGAGCAGCTATCATCAGATAAATTGCAGGGAGCAAGCAGATGATCTAGGTCAGGGCTACTCAACTGTGGAAGCCCTGGGAGCCACAACGATACAGCACTTGCCAAAGACCGCAATTTAAGTATGGTTGCATATACATGCAAATAGCTTCTTTCACACTGACAGGCATGAATACAAAGATTAAAGTAAGACTAGACAACTCTCAGGCCCTGTTTAAGTCAGTTCTGCTGATACTAATAAAATGCAACATATACCCGATTTCCACCCATATGACAGCACTTTTAATGAGCACTGACAGTCCAGGAATATAACTACTAAAATGCATATCAACTGAAGACCATTATATTGACTCACTGTTGTGGAGTGTATTCCCAGAGGCGGCCATGTTCAAAGACTCCCACCCACGGGCCACGTGTAGCCCCGCGTAAACACAAACCGCAAACAAACAGGCTGTGGGCTGCACGTTGAGTATCCCTGCTCTAGGCCATCAACAACTGACCATTCACAACAGAGATATCTAAAGATTCACAAGAATCAGGCACTAACTCCACTGAATGGGAGTAGTTCCTAGCAATCTTCCCATTTCAAACGCTATTGAAAGCCAAAGATGATCCTTGAAATTAGACATGTTGTGTGCCCCTAGGCAATGAAAATTTATCTTTTGATATTTAACATCTGGAAAGGATCCCATGGTCTGCTGAATCAGGGACAATTAATTTTTAACAGACCACACTGGAGTGAGTTGGGGCTGTAGGTCTCAAGAGTTTAGGACCACAAGTGGTAAAATTGAGTCTGTGCCAAAATTTCTTGTGAGACAGTGGTGACCTGGGGTATTTTTCTTTACTATTCTTCCACCAATACGTGAACACTGTGAAAATGTTAACACTGGCACTGGTCCAAGGCGAGCAAGTTAGCCATTAGCACTGCAAATCTGTGCGCCACAGTAGACGGTGAAGTGAGAGATCCTGATGGGTGCAGAAATCCTGGTAAAGGCCCATACATTCCCGACGTCAACTCCAAGATACTAGCAATCATCAGGCAGTGTTGACTGTTCCAGACTCAGCATGGCTTTTCACACACATATCATTTGTTTATAGGTGGATGACAAAAGACGGATGCTAGTGTCTCAGGGGCCAGTAAGATGGACACAAGGGGAAGACAAAATTCAGACAGTTGATTTTTTATATATTCTCTACATCAATATCGATGTATAAAACTCTCAACTAGCTGAAGTTACAGCTGGCCTTCAAAACCTAGAGACAATATTACACAGGGAAAAGCAGGAGCAAGATGAGTGCATTGCTCAAATTGTGAGCTATTTGAGGATAGGAACATAGGCCTATCAGGCTGGATCCAGCCCACGGATGCTGTCTTGTCAGTGATGAGAACTAGCTGATAGCATAAGAGTCATAGACTCGTAGACTTTAGGCTCACAAGGGATCCTCATGATCCTGGGGGGAAGGGAGGAGCAATGCGGACAGTTGACCCAAGGCCCGGCTATTCAAAGGGGCCTGTGGCTCTCAGCCACTGCTGCAGTCTGTGAGGCTCTGAGGGCTAGGAGCTCCCCTGAGTCCAGGGGTTTCCAAACAGTGGGTCGGGATCCTATTTTAATGGAGTTGCCAGGGCTGGCTTTGGCTGTGGGCCCTAACAAGGCTGTGGGCCCAATGCCCAAGCCCCACCACCCAGGACTGAACCCAAAGCCCAAGCCCTAGCACCGAGGGCTAAGGTTACATGCCCCCCATCAGCTTTGCCCCCCCTAAAGCAATGGGGCTCAGGCAGCGAGGCTCACATAGGCTCGCTCACTGGTTCCCCCCTCTTAGGGTCAATACATTAATTTTTGCTGTCAGAAGGGAGTCATGGTGCAAAGAAGTTTGAGAACTGCTGATATCTAGTCTGCTGTCCTGCACATTGCAGGCCCCAGAACCTCACTCACCCGCTCTTGTAATAGACCCCTAGCCTCTTGCTCATTTACTGAAGTCCTTAAATCATGATGTAAAGATTCAAGTCACAGAGAAGCTACTGTTTAAACCTGCAAGTGATCTGTGCCCTGCACTGCTGCAGAGGAAGGTGAAACCCCTCCTGGGTCTCTGCCAATCTGGCCTGGGGGAAAAGTTCTTTCCAATCCCAAATATGGCAGCTGGTTAGACCCTAAGCATATGGATGAGGCCTACCCACCAGATCCCTGGAAAAGAATTCTCTGTAGTAACTCTGAGCCATTCCCATCTACTGTCCCGTCCCCAGCCATTGGACAGATCTGCTGCTAACCTTTGCCTCCAGTGGCATAGAGCTGATCAGCTATCTCATCTCATCATCCATTCCATAAACTTATCAAAGTCAGATAGGTAGGTTTTTTTTCCCCATGGCTCCTCTTGCAAGGCTGTCCTAGAAAGTCTGGTTAGAAACCTTCATTGAATTTGAAGCCAAATGGCTCAGTCTATATCCATTTGTCAGCAGGCATCTGTGGGGCAATCTCCCCACACCTTGGAGGTCTCATTCTGATCACCAATAGAGATTGCTTTTCTATATCCATCTGTGGGGCAATCTATCCCCACGCCTTGGAGGTCTCATTCTGATCACCAATAGAGATTGCTTTGAGCACGAGGGTTCATGTCCCTTGCAAACATTCCATTGTAATAACTCCCTTTTTGAGTCCCGCTCTCCTTTAGCTCTGGCCACTCCACAGCGTTATGCATCACCATTGCATGGGGATGTGACATGCAGCCTTTCAGTGCTGGGTCACTGGTCACAAGAGGAACACCACTGGCAGTCGCCAAATACCA